GTGTATATATATATATATATATATGTATGTATATATGTATGTGTATGTGTATGTGTATGTGTATGTGTATGTGTATGTGTATACAATGTCCTTGCATCAGTTCATAAGTGTACCTGTACCCCTGTATGCTATGGTTTCTCAGGAAATCATCCAAAAGCTTCTTGAATGATTCCATATTCTTAGCTGAAATCACTGCTTGAGGCAGTGAGTTCCAGACCCTAACTGTGAAGAACTCCCTTCGCCCCTTGTGTTGGAATTTTTTTTTCTACCAATTTTAGGTGGTGGACTCTAGTTTTTGTTACAGAGTTAATCGTAAAGAGTTTGTTGCTAATGTTGCTGTCACCATTGAGCAATTTGTACATGAAAATCATATCCCCCCTTAATCTCCTTACTTCCAACGTGAACATGTTTAAATTTAGTAGTCGTGTCTCATAGCTCTGGTCCTCCATTCCCCTAATTAGTTTGGTTGCCCTCCGCTGGACTCTTTCAAGCTCAAGGACATCCTTTTATGTGGACTAGTGAACAAAACTGGACCGCATACTCCAGATGAGGCCGGACCAGTGATCTATAAAGTGGCTCAATTATAGACTTGTCTCTGCAATAAATCCACCTTCTTAATACAGGACAGGACTCTACTTGCTTTGTTTACAGCAGCCTGGCACTGCAAGCTATTAATAAATCTGCGGTCTACAATGACGCCCAAATCTTTCTCCATTTCTGCCTTCCCTAGTAGTATACCCATAATTGTATAGCCCATTTGTTTATTTTGAATCCCAAAGTGCATTACTTTACATTTTATCGACGTTAAACCTCATCTGCCATATAGTTGCCCACTCCCCTATTTTATCCAGGTCCTCCTGTAATGTTAAACTGTCTAGGTCTTTTTCTATTACCCTCCCGATTTTGGTATCGTCAGCAAACACCTAAACATCACTATTCCCTCCCTCCCCGATGTTAATAAACAGGGTGAACAGCATGGGGGCCAGCACAGAACCCTGAGGCACACCGCTAATGACACCAGCCCATTTTGAAAAACTCATTTATCAATACTCTCTGTACCCGTTCCTGTAGCCAGTTCTCTATCCACGTACACAAGACTTCATCTATGCCCATGGATCTCAGCTTGTATAACAAGCGTTTGTGTGGTACCGTATCAAAAGCCTTTGAGAAATCCAGATATACCACATCCACTAGCATCCCTCCATCCAGATTTCTACTTACCCCCTCATAAAAAGTAACAGGTTAGTCTGAAAGGAAGGGTCTTTCCTGAACCCATGCTGATTGTCATTTAACTATACCATTATCCTGAACAAATTCTACCAAATAGTCCTTAATCAATCCCTCCAACACTTTACAAACCACTGATGTGAGACTAACTAGTCTGTAGTTCCCCGGTTGGCATCTTTTTGAATATAGGGACTACCGTGGCCCTCCGCCAGTCACTTGGAACTCTACCAGTCATTAAAGAGTCCTTTAAAAATGAGGAATAATGGTTTTGTTATAACCTCGCTTAGTTCTTTAAGTACTTTGGGGTGCAGGTTATCTGGTCCCACTGCTTTATTTGCATTAAGTTTTTCTAGTCTTTGTTGTATCCCGGTTTCCATCAACCACTGAGGTATATTTTTTGTTGAACTATGTGTTTTATCATGTAAATTAAACCCGTCCTTTTCCTGAGTGTATACTGAGGAGAAAAACGTGTTCAGCGCCTCGGCCCTCTCCTTGTCATTTGTGAGTAACTTTCCGTTTTCGTCCTTTATTGGGCCTATCTGCTCCTTTCTCACTTTTTTTACTGTTATATATTGGTAGAATTTTTTTTTTTTTTTTTAACTAATTGTGGCGATATGCTTTTCGCACTCTATTTTAGCTGCCCTGATTACTAGTTTGCATCTTTTATTACATTCTTTGTAGCTATTGAACACCAATGCTGTCCCCTCCATCTTATATTTTATAAATGCCGCTCTCTTGTCCTTGATGTGTTGCTTTACAGTTTTATTTAGCCATACAGGCTTAGTTTTCGATCTTTTACTTTTATTACCCAACGGTATACACTTGGCAATAGCAATATATAATGTGTTTTTAAAACAGTCCCACATTTGGTCTGAGTTCAGGTTGTGGAATAGGTTTTCCCATTTGATATCCCCCCACTAGGTGGCGCAGTTTGTCAGTTAGCCCTTCTGAAATTTAGGGTTCTTGTCCGTCTAGCCCACTTTACTTTCGACATTGGATACAGGAAAGGGATCACATTGTGATCACTATTAACCCAGTGTCTCCCCAATTACAATATCCTCAATTAACTCTGCATTATTAGTAATGATTAAATCTAGGATGGCATTTTTCCTAGTTGGAACCTCAACCATCTGGTCCATGAAATTGTCTCGCAACATGTTCAGAAAACGTCCCACCTTGGTCGAACCTGAGGTACCATTAACCCAATTTGTATCTGGGTAATTGAAGTCGCCCATCACGACTACATTGCCCTCCCTCCCAGCTATTTCTATTTCGGACTGTAGATGAGCCTCCCCCTCCTCCCCCTATATTTGGCGGTTTACAACAAATACCCATAATTAGTTTACGACTATCGTTGTCCAGCTCCGGAGCCACTTGTTAAGCTCCCTCAACTCGCGCTGTCTGTCCAGAGTGGCTCTTGGCACCGGTAGTATCTCTGAGAATGTGGAGGTGGAGGTCCTTTCCTTCATCCTAGCACCTAGGTCTCTGAACTCCTCCTATTTTAGGACACTCCTCCTATTTTGTCATTGCTGCTGATGTGCACCATGACAGCTGGGTCGTGCCCAACCCCATCTAGTAATCTTGTCAATTCGTTCCGCAATGTGTCGAACACGAGCCCCCGGTAAGCAGCACACTGTTCGACGGTTCCGATGACAGATTACCCTGTCAGTCCGCCTGATGATGGAATCTCCCACCACCAGGATCTGCCTCTCCTGACCCTCCATCCTGCTCCCATCCTCGCCAGAGCAGTCACTCCCCCTGCGGATAGAGGAGGCATCCTGCTCCAGCAGTGGCACCCCTGAACTACTATCCCCAACATCCTGCAACCTGGCTTATTTATTGGGGTGTATCAGTTCAGGGCTGACCTCTCGCACTCTTCCCTCTCCCCTGCCTTCTTACAGTAACCCAGCTCCCCACCTCGGGATCCTGCGCCTCCAAACCCCCCTCATCATCCGGACCACCCTCCACCACAGCCTGGTGCGTTATGTCCAGACTCCTTTCCATGACTGTTATGCTCCTCAGTGTTGCTAGTTTGTTGCTTAGATCCAGAATCTGGGCTTCCAAACAAGCAACTCGCTCACATCTAGCGCAGATGTATTCCTCCTCAAACGCATGTTCAAGGAAAGCATACATGCACTTGGTTGCATCCCTACTCATGGAAGACATGATTCTATATATATATATATAGTTTATTTAGGGCCAATGATTCTGCTGAATTCAAACCTAAACAGAGGCTTGTGGGAAGAAGCATACTGCAATTCAGGAAAGTGTATGGGGGTAGTTGGAAAATGAGACCAGGTTATAACCTAAATATGGCTGTAGCATGAAACAGAAAGGTGGAGTATTGTTTTTAAGATAAAACAGAACCTCAAAGCAGGTGAAAAATGTATATTAGAACAGTCACTGCTTTTCCTCCTTACCTTGTAATATTTAGATGTCCCTTAGAGAGTTGGCCAGGCCTAGTCTTTTAAATCAGGTGCGTAGCGTATATCTATAATTCTGACTGTATTGGGTGCCAATGCTGTACAAAGCTGATGGAATCCTTTTTCCTGATTTAGCGTTATTTCAAAGAAAGACATGATGCAAATTTCTAAAGGATGGAAATCTTAATACCATTATGTTTAACTAGGCTTAATTTTTTCATCCTATTTTGTATGAGCTTGGAATCCTACCTTACAAGATAAGTTCACTTTAAAGCACTTATTCTCAATCAAATGACAGTGGTTCTACTGTTCGGTTACATCTATCTCTGCAAGTCTCCACTGTCTTGGCTGTACCTATGCAGTAATGCCCAATATACTTCTATGGGGCTGTTTCCCTAGGCTGGAGATAATCCAATAAAAGTCTATAGATAAGTGCCCTTTGCTTTAAAGTACACTTACACTTTTAAGGATATTTTTTTTTTTTTAATAGATGAGGATCTAGATCTGAGTGATACACAAATAAGATACATTGTTGTTAATAGTTAAGAGATACTTGAATGCATTTTTTAAGATTTAACTCTTGTTTGGGGTCACTTTCACATGAACAGAACTAAAATGTATAGGCCGACATGTGCATGCCCAACATTAAATTATTTCTGAATCGGTGCCGACACTGTCCTTCTGCAGGGTGACTACTTTTGTTCCCCATGGTCCCAGTGTGTGTTGTAAAGTAGACAATGCTCCAAGCTCGATTCAAGCTGCTACAATCTCAATACAACTTGGTAAAATTAACGTCAGATTGTAGTCCATCACAGGAGGGAGCTTGGAGCGGTGACTACTTTACAACACACACACGGACCATGGGGAACAAAAGTAGCCACCCTCCAGAAGGAAGAACCGTGTCGGCACCAATTCAGAGATGATTTGAGGATCTAGAGCTGAGTGATGCACAAATAAGCTACTTTTTTGTTTATAGTTGAGGTACTTGAATGCATTTTTAAACTGTAACTGCTGAGTTTAGTGTCGCTTGAACATGGTTACCCTAGCAGCCTCAAGACCCTAATATAGATGTGGGAAAGTAATGTATTTTTATTGTAATGCCTGTTCTCAGTTGGCAACAATTTCTGTTTACTGTGTTGTGCATATATATATATATATATTTCTCTATGCTGTATGTACTCCGGTTGGGGCTTAAATTTACAAAAGTCCTCATGACTGTTCTGTAAACCATGAACTTGTGGTTTGTAGATCATTTTTAGTACACACAATTGTAAAGCTTTGTTTTTGTTTTTGTTTTACAGTGTGCCTCCTCCTTCCAAGCTGAGTAGAGTTCTTTCTTTTGCTGCAAAAGTAACATTTTTTGGACTAGTAAGTTATGGTTGTTTTTGTGTAAGTAGAAGAACTGTCCGATTTATGCTTTCAGTGCCAGCCACACAGTATTGCCTTCAAAGACTGAACCAGATGAGAATGTGGGATTTTTAAATGGAACCATCATATTTATGTACTACAGAGCTATTCATTATAGGGGTCTTTCTTCATTGCTGGTCACACACAGCTGTCCAGAACATGCCTCCAAAATACCTGTTTGTTTGAAGTGAGAGTGTCAACTTTGTGTACATCAGATGGCAGCTACTGCAGGTTC